GAATTAGCAATGTGGTCATCACTGATGTCCTTGGCAAACACAGTGTTGTTGGAATGGTGGAGGAAAAATCTTGCTGGAGTGGATTTAGAAAGACTGGGAAGAGAGATATTAGAAAACAGTAGGGAAAATTTATGAATTTTGCTACAGAGGAGTATAAGGAGGGGGCAATGTACTGTATAGTGACTAACATGACATAATAAAAAAATATAATAGAATAAAATCCATCAAGCTAAGCACAACTAAGCAAGCCACAAAAAAAAAAAAAAAAAGGGAGGGGCATTAGTTGATGCCAGGAGTGGGATTGAAAGAAGTTTTGTTTTGTCTTTTAAGATGGGAGAAAAAACAGATATATGTATGCTGGTGGGAATGATTCCACAGAGACAAAAAACTTGAAAGATAAAGGAGAAAAAAGGAACTGCTGAAGGGATGTCCTTGAGTAAAGGAAGAAGGATGAGATTTAATGTATAACTGAAATTACTGGCTTTAGGTTGGAGAAGGTAAGATAACAGAAGAAAATGTAGACTATGTGGGTAAAATACTGGCTCAGTGAAGTAGGAAGTAAGGTCATCAGTTGGGAGTGAGGAGGGAGTAAGAGATATTGGAAGGTTAGATATGGGAATTCTTAGATGGCCCCATGATCTCTGCCTCCTTGATGCTACTTTTTGTGCAATTCTCTCCATTTGAATGTGGGTGAAAATTGTGACTTGATTCTAATCAACAGAATGTGTCAAAAAGATGGAATGTCAGTACTGTGATTAAGTTATGTTGTATGGCAAAGGAGGTGAGAAGTCGCTTCTATGATTAGGTTCAATATATAAGACTCCATCTTGCTAGCACACACTGGAGAAAGATTCTCCTGCTGGCTTTGCAAGATGCAAAAAGCCATGGTGCAAAGTGCCCACTGGAGAGAGAGTCATACTGCCTGGAACTTGGGCAGCCTCTAGAATCTGATGGTTGCCTCTTGCCAACAGACAGTTAAGAAGTCAGCACCCTCAGCCATACAACTGCAAGGAACTGAATGCTGCCATCAACCTGGATCCCCTTAGAAGGGGATTAGGCTCCAGTCAAGTTTCTAGATGAGAATGCACTCCATCCGATACTCTGATTGCAGTTTTGTGAGACCACGAACAGAGAACTTGGTGAAGCAGTGCCTGGATTCTTGACTACGGAAAGTGTAAGATAATAAATGGGTGTTGTTTGAACCACTGCGTAATTTGTTACACAGCAAAAGAAAACTAATACAGGGGTTGAAAGAAGAGAACTTATGAAATAGCCATCTAGAAAGTAAAAAAGTGAAAGGGCTTATGACTGGAAGAATTAAGGGTCCATTTGAGATCTACAGCCATGAATTTAAAGAAAGACCAGCTGAGTTTTACCTGTGTTTTCCTGTAACCACAGCAAGGGTGCTATATATGAGTTACCTGTTTTCATGTTTCATTATATTTTGGTATATAATTTCAAATTCATCAGTCAGTAAGTAAATGTCTATAAAGCACATATTTCTGCAATCATTATTTTTCCTTTTTCTCTTCATGAAATTTGAGAAGAATCCCATGAGAGCTAAGAACCAGGAACCTAAAATTAAAGCTGGAATTTAATTTTTGGCACCATTGACTGATTAACAAAACCATTTTGTTGAATTTTGAAGTAACTGAAAAATTTAGTATCAATAACTTAGAACTGATGATCAAACCCAACTAATTGTTTTTTATTTTGTTTTTAAGGTTTTTGAAAACACATTGCTTAAAGAATCTAATTATATTTATATCTTTATATTTGCTTCATAGTTAAAATTCCACATGTAAGAAATTTCAAAGTTGCACCTTGCAATATGCGACACATGCAAAAAACAGTCCAAGTTGGAAAACTATTAGCCCTACTAACTTTTCTTTCTCATTAGGGAAATAACAGCAATTTGCTTTATCATTACACAACATACAACTTAGTACTCTCACTAGTGAAGAAAATAATTGTAGAGTAGTTTAAACTATCTAGAAAAAGAATAGAGAGACTTTGATTACAGAAATATTTTGGAGTTAAAAAAGCAGCAAGCAACACTAGTATCTTAGAATTCTTAGAATTCTTCAGTTTCAAAAGCTCTATGCTATGCTACTTACCATCTTAAAGAATATTCTTTCTTTTTCATATCACTTGAAAGATACTTCAGAACAAAATAAATTAAATAAACAAAACCTAACACTTATGGTTAACATTACATTCTAGATACTGTACTGTTCAAGAACAATGAATTTATTTCATTCTTTAACCCTATGAGATGCTACTATTTGGATTTCATAAAAGGGAAAACTGAAACCCAATTTACTCAGCAAGTAAGTGCCAGAACAAGGATTTGATCATAGGCAATTTGGCACCAGTCTTGACTTATAACCACCATTCTGTAGGACTTCTCATATGATAGTCCTTCAATTTTCAGGGGGAAATTATTATAGACCAACAACACTGTAGATACAGTCTGCCTCTCTGACCTGTGGAAATAGTCTGGCCTGTAGAAACATGAGGGTAGAAAAAGTAAAATTTAGTATGTACTGAAACACGTAATCATTTTTAAAAGAATAGAACAAGTTTTTAATGTTGAAACTGCAATAAAACTTACTCCTTGGTGTATTTTCTGTGCTTCTTACTTTTGGGTTTTCTGAATATTAATAGTCCCTTAGCCCTTTTTATCACATTATTGTGATAATGTGACATCACTGTAACGTAGACAAACTATTCTGGAAATGGAACTCAGTCATAACTCATTTAACTGTTATTGATGAAAATAACACAAACAGTTGTCTGGGCATATTTTATATTGGTTTATAAAAGTTCACAAGGAGAAAGTTTATAGTTTTAACAGCAGAGGGTATCATATTAGCTGTAACACATGAAAATAATTCTCTTATAGGTTTAAAAGTTCATTTTAATTATGGAGATTTTAATATGATCATATTAGAACCCATTTTTCTATCTTGGTTACCCTTACAGATCTAAGCTAATATAGAGTGAATTTGAATTCATTGGGAAATACGGAGGGAATAAAATGATCACAAAATACTAATAACATAAGGATGGATGATGACTACAATTCCTTTAATAAACTTAAAAATCTTGTTTTGTTCTTCTTGTATATCTTGCCTCGTGTTATCCAGGAGATATTATGCTTGTTTGTATAAAAACAGAAGAAACCAGAATATAAATAAAATATATTTAACAACTATAACTGAGTATAGTGGACAAAGTACAAAACCACAAAGATTTATTATTTCAAATATTAGAAAAAGAATTGGTAGAAGTGGATATAGTAACATATCTAGAGGGCAAAAATATTACCAGACTTCAATGTATAAACTAGCCTTTTTAAGAAATCATTTAATAAAAATTCACATGTTCATATGAAATAAATAAAAGAAAATATAAATCTAACTTTAAAGACAAAATTACTGAGATAGTTTTTCTTTCCAGATCCAAGATTTTTTACATTGTTCGTTGAGAAAAATCATTAGTTTTGTTTTTATTGCTGCTGCACTCATTTGTCTTGTTTTTGTTTGGAAAGGAAAGAATGATAAAGTACAAGAGAAATATTTAAAAAATAAAGTTAGTTGTTGTCCCAATAGTTCTCTATATCATGTGGCTAAAGTTCACTTAAGAGATAAGGTATATAGAGTAAAAATGTATAAACACTTTTTTTAACCTCATGCATTAATATTACAAGCTTTGTTCCCACTTTATGTCATACCATTTCCTTCAACGAGAGGTGCTGAGATTCATCACTAGAGATATATGTAGTATTTTAACCAAGTTATTGGGACTAAAATGTGAATATTACAGTTTTGTCTAAAGGGAATGCTACTGCATAAGATGAAAATCAAGCTCCTACTATAGAATAACATCGTACCCTATGTTAGTCTTGCTTCCAGTTATTATTTTAACATTTTTCCTGAGGTTGCAAAAGTATTAGACTCAATAACTAAGCAAAATAATTCTGACAGCCTTATATTAGATTACATGCAAAAGGCACATTTAATATAGTTAGCAAATATAGTTCAAAGTTAATAATTTATTGGTCAACTATATGAAAAATATATTAAAAAGATAAGCTTTTGTTTAATAATTGAATAATCCCATAAGGCCTTGTATTAGTGGAAAAGTAGAAATATTAAAGAAAATAACATCTCTCACCTAAATGAAGCTCAACTCAGACAAAATGAAAATGTGTTTAATCATTTTAATGAATATATTTTCAACATTTGTCAAATACAGTATGGCTCTGTTTTACATAAGATATTTTAGATGAATTATTTAAATGTGCCAAAAATAACTACATTTGAAAAATGACCTACAAATATTCAGTACCAAAACAATCGTCAAATCAAACTAATATATATCTAATTGCAAAGTCTGCCACTCCACTAAAGAAAATGGTCATATTAAATTAGAAGACTATACCATTTCCTAAGTTGGAAAACAGAAATAAAATTATCACAAACACCAATTTTCAGTTACTTTTAGATTGCTAGAAATGTTTTTCATTGGAAGTTGAAAATTGTTTACACAGTAAGGCATGTCTGAAATAAAAAACAAATGAAAATGCATTCACTTTTAAAGATATACCTTTGCTCAATAAGTCATATTTATACATTTTTTTACATATATGATATTCTTAACTTATATACCAATAATCCTAGGAAGAACCAATAATGGAGATTATAAACAATGACTCAATAAATAACACGCAGAGCTCCAGAAAGTCATAATTTTAAGGGAAAACCCCCAAATTCGAGGCGTCTACCATCTGAATATATTTTTGTTATCTAAAGTTAAAAAACTGCATATAAATATTCAGGAATAATCGATCTTTCTTTCTCAGGTTATTTGGAATCTGACCATGGTGCACATATGTGAATGAACGAATACATCCTTAACCCACCATTATCCTTCTCTCCAGTGTGCAGGCAATCACCCGTGAAAAGTATGGTGTAGATGACAGGATGATACTGTACCTGATTAGCTCTGGAGGTGGTCATGGGGTCAGATGGAGAGGACTTGGTGGTAGTTGGGGAAGATGGCAATGTCTGGGAACAAAGCAGTTCAGGAGCAAATCAACCTTTAAAAGCCTTAAACTGATCATTTAAATAAAACAAAATAAAATAAAATGTAATATAACGAGAACAAAATCCTAGGAACAAATTTTTCTCCTACTCATTCAAATTTAATGGAATTTAAGATCAACTAAGTAACTAATGCATGTAAATATGCATGCATAAGCATGTAAAAATAAATTCATGACTTGAAATCATGATGGTGACAGATACAAAATCCACATGAGCATTAAAGGCATCCTGACCATATTCATGAATAGTAGTCTCTTTTCTTTCTCTCTTGTTTGCTTGGGGGAAAAGAGATGTCAAACAAAAATTCAAGAAATTCAATGAGTAAGACTGAAAGAGTCCTTTTCCTATCAATGAATACAGTCGGGGATTGGAAGAAGTGGTGAAATGAAGTTTACTTTGGTATAAAAGCATCCACCTACTTAATATGTTGAACATCACCAACAAGTTGATTCCACATGAATTTAGGGATCCATACTTAAAAGCAACTAAATTTGCAGTTCTGAGTTCTTAAATCACATTATCTTCTAAAATATTAATTTTTAACAAATTTAGAGCCCGTCTGAAAATGTAAACATTAACCTCATATTAATAAACAAGTAACTAATAGCATTTTAACAAATTGCCATAATATTTTTTATCATTTCTGTTGAAGACTAAAAATTTAATATAGATGTGATTGTAGCCTTATCAGCCTGTGTTGAATATAAGCACAAAAATATTAGGAATCATATTTATTGTTCACTTCATTCCAAAATGCTTCTACATACTATATATAAAATATGTTGTATGAGACCATAATATACTTGTTGAATAATCCATTAATATATTTTAAAAACTTCTCAAGTCTAATAGAATAACCTTGAAGTGTAAGATGTTAAACTTTTCTCTTTTTAAAAAAATATATTTTCACTTAGCAAATAGCATTGCTTAAGTAGCTCTCTCAATAGATAATATTTCCTAATAGGTGAAATGGGGTAGTTTTATAATACAGACACAATTCTATGTGGACATTTTGTTTTATATTAATAATTATGCATCAAAATTACTCAGATATGAGCAAAAGCATAACTTTAAAGGTTCAGCAGTGCCAGGAAAAGCAGATAAAATTACTTCATAAAATCACATTTCTTCATTTGAGATTTCAAAAGTTCTGATTTGGGTGGAACAAAGCAGTTAAGCATAAAAGAAAGGATAGGAAATTCACAGGCTTCTACTTAACTTACTGTTCTCCAGTAACAAAGTAAGATTGGTTCTAACATCAGATCATGTTATAAATAGTCCACTCCTCAAGTGATTCCTGGTTCTTCTAAGTTAAAACCTAAAATACGTTGAGGAAAACTACACTTCATGTTGAGTTATACCAAGGTTTTTGTTAAATCATATTTAAAAAGGGGGCAGGAGCTACATTCAGAAGTAAAACCTCATAAAAGAAGAAACAAAAAATTTAAATCCTTTGTTTTCTGTTTTCACTCTTTGTAATAAATTCCGCCATTTCTCCAGAGAGACTTTCATTTTCAGTTATTAAAAATTGCTCTAATATTTTCTTTTCATGCAATTCTATGCTGGAACATATATTATTGACTTCAGGTTACTATATGATGAATAGTAAAGATTTTATTTTCCCACCTCTGGTTATGATTGTTATTACAGAGAATTCCTGGGAGTAGTTAACATACATTTAAAAATCTGTTCTGTACTTATCTCAGATTATGAGGTTGCTGATGAACAGACGTGAAATAAATATAGAGGTCATTTCCCCCCAAATAGGTTAGAATTTAAGTTCATTAAACTACAGAAGCACTAAGTATGTGTTGGGGTCTTGTATTTCCATCAGGGTAAAATCAACCTGAAGTACCACAGGTTCACAAGGACATCCACCTTGCCCTGGATATGAATTCTCAATAAGGTACTACAACACTGCAAAGAATGATGTGGAAAAAGTAGTAATATTAAGTGGCTCAGAATTTGTAGTCACTTAGATTAATATTATCTTCTGTCAGTTTATTCAATCCCTTTCTTTTTGCTTGGCATATATATGAAATATTGGACATGTATTATTAGTAACTGATACAACTCATAGTTACATCATTGCCCTTAATAATTCTGATGCTATTTATTTCTCACAGAAACAAAAAACAGTAACTTTAAACGTCAGGGAAAATATTAATATGTCTAAATCATTAAAATTTGCTTATCAAATATCATAATCTGATAAGAAATTAAAGTTTAATATTTCAAATAAACTGGTGAAAACCATATAAATTTGAGCTTCAAGGGATAAGATTATCAAAATATCACAATAAATTGTTTCTAAAAATATTTTCTTCATTTAAATTCCTAGAATAATGAGTACATAATGAAATAAACACATGATGAGTTTTGTAGCTATTATTCACATAGATAGTTTAAACACAAAATGTCTCCTCCCTTTACCAACTTAAGTTATAACAATAAAAAGATTCCAGAAAGTTTTCATTTTGGTTGATTTTGTAAAGTACTAGCTACAAAAAATTGTTCTAACAAATAGATAAATGTAAATATATTAAAATAATGCCTTTAATTAAAAATGTTTATTAATTAGATTAATGAAACATCTTTGGTAGTTTTCTTAACAACAGAAATAGAACCAAAGAATCCATAAGAAATATTTCAATGTACAATATAAGTGTATGATATGTTTGTTTCCCTATATTTTATAAACAAAACATTTACTTCTACTTACTACACAGATTTAAAATTTAGTGGTTTCAAGTTAAAAATCATTTAGTAAAATTTCTGTTACACATCATAAAGATGTAACTAACTGAATATCCATATAAGCAACAGTATATTAAAATATTTATTATAAAAAACATGAACAAAGGACACTCTCCTCTAAAAATGCTTTCTTTACATTTATGAAATAGTGATTGTGAAGGACAGTCATTTTTTAAGCACAATTTTATCTTTCAAATGGAAAAGTATAATATGTTTTTATTTACACGAATTGACTAGCTGTTTAAGAATTCTGCTTTAAAGACTGAAGGCTGAATTACTTGTTGCAGAAAAATTTAAAGTATTTTACAATTTCAAAATAGTGGGTCCTTTGAAATAGTTTTAAAATATTCATGATTTAACAATAGACATTTCGTTAAAATGTAGATATAATTAGGCTTCTGGGAATAAGAACTAGAAAGTAATTACAAATTGTAAAATGCATTCTTGTTAACAAGTGACAGTTTTGCTGGACCAGAAAATATTACTATAAATAAACTCTAATATACACAGCTTATCTCCAAGCAAATCTACAGTAACAGACTGTCAAGAACCTCTGATATTTATAGATATAGTGAGAACAGCAGTAAACAGCAAATCTCAATTGTAATTCAAAATCTATTACTAGCTGAGTAGTATTACTCAAGTAATCTCCTTCCCAAACCTGTGTTTTGAGTTCTGTTAAATAAATCTGTATAGTGCTCTATTAAAAAAGAAAAGATAAAATATGTGAATATGTAACTGTCATCTTTGGTTTTTCATTGTGACAAGTATCCTCCCCTCCTTCCCATGTCTGAACTACCTGGAACCCCTCAGCACTAATATAAACTCATGTTGTCCAATTTACACAGGTCTTTCAGAATTTATTCTTATTCCATAGCTTATTTTCCTCATAATTGCTGTCCTGTACGTTTATCCTTTTCTTCAATCCTTCAATCCCATGTGTTTTATCTACTTTTCAACTGATAGTCTTCATTACCTGAAAGAAATCATGATTTTTCAGAATGAACTTCCTTACTACAATTGACTACATTTGAACTTTTTCCATTTTCCAAACTACCTTTTTTCTGAATCTTCTTATTCTTTTCATTATAGACAAAACTGTATACTCAGACCTCCCATCCTTCATAAGTTAGGACCTTAACACCCTAAATATTAACTTTCTACCACTCCTGAGACATCTTGTACCCTCACAGTAATCTCATTTCTAATTTCTCTGCCATTTCAAGCTCCTTTTTATTCTTTAACACAAGCCATTCCCTCTTGAGTGGCAGGGGTTATGTGAGCCTCCCTTATCTAACTTGTATTTTACTCCTTTGTATATCCAAAATTCCAAATCAGCATTTCTACCCTTCATACCATTTTTTCTCCTTACCTAACTGGACTGTTAACTTTTAGGAAATAATATTAGTAGGAAATAATGACTTTGCTTTCACCATGTGATTAACACTAGTTTTTAAATCACCAATAATTTCCTATTTAAAAAAATTTTTCCTTGTATTTTTCTCTGGGTATTTGATCCTTTTTAGCAACTTAAACTTTCCCTCCTTATTTTATCACAGGGAGTATTACTGATTTCCTTTTTATCTTTATGATTAATAAAGAGCACTTGCTAAGAACCAGGTATAGTTCTACTCAGTTAATACAATATCCCTATGAAATAGATTATTATTACTAGTCCCATGTTATAGGTAAAGAAGTTGAGGTACAGAGAAGCAAAACAACTCACTCAAAGGTACATAGCTGGTCAAATAAAGAGCCAGGAATTGAACCTGGGCAGTCCTGCTCCAGATCCTATGCACTTAACTATACTAGACTATAATGCCTATGACATACTTTTTCTGGTAACTGCTTCTTTATCTCATTTTTTGTTTTTCTCTTCTCCTACTATGAAGATGGTAAGTGAAATTATCGCCTTGAATGTAATTAAGGATCTGTATTTTCAGTTTTACATTCTCACCTGTACTTCTATAAAAGACTACTTCAAGAGAAAAGCATACTACTTACAACTTATTCAATCTGTCTGCAACACATGAAAATATTATCTCAAACAGGCACCTAACTAAAATTCACTTACTGCTTTCTAGGCTTCACCATTCTGCTTGGCTCAAAGCCATATATAATAATTTTTCATTCTTTTCTCACCATTTTGGAACTACAATAAATCAGTCTCAAAGCCTTAGAGATTTTACTTCGAAATATCTTTC